CGGGCCGGGCCCGCCGCAGGGGCTATGGCTAATTGTTGGCTGCCTGAGCCCACAAGCCCAGGCTAAGACCTGCCCCTAGCTCTAGTCAGCTCCCCTCCTTCCCCCGGTGCTTGAGTGAAGTGACTGTTCATTGCCGGCTGCATGTGCGGGGAGGCGTAGGCTACAGCACGCTACCACCCAGCTCCACCCAAGGGCTGGAGCCCGAAGCTGCTACGTGCGGCCAGCCCGACTCTTCTTGTATGTTTGCCTCTGTTGGCTGGGCCCAGCGCTCTAGACTGCACACAGCTGAGCCCTGCCAGTGCTACACAAGGACTAACCCCCCTGAGACGAGGCAGAGTGGGCTCCCTCCCCATTGGAGAGCAAGGGAGCACTACAAGGCCCTTGTGCGTCCCTTCTACACTAGCTCAGGCTTGCTTGGGCAAACTGGACTCAGTTGGTGCTTGCCTAGGTGGGGAAGCCATCTGCCTCGAACGTTTCCTTATGTCATACATCCACGATACCCTCGCTCAGAATATGATGCGGTTACAGGAGCCAAGCAAGGAGGCCTCAGGACTATGGTCAGCAGCTGGCCTGGCAAAGAGCAAGAGGTGGGACATGCACAGAAAGCTTCATGCCCAGCGGTGTCGAATCAGCAGTCTGCTGCTAGTTATCTGACCCAGCTAAGTCCCTCATCTGACCTTGTGGGGCTGTGACACAATGGGTCATTCTCATGCTTGGCAACCTCACAAGCTTGGGTTTGAGACCTGTGGCACCTCACACCTCCCCCTTTTCCTGGCCAGGTGATCCCCAGATGCCTGGGCCTGCTGTATGCCTCCCGCTCCTTGGTAAGACCTCCGGTACTTACAGTGGTGAGAGTGTTGCTAGAAGCAACAGTAACTTGACACATGGAGGTTCTGTGTGCACAGATGAAACACTAGCAATGCTATTGAGGCACGGATGCAGGTTTCTACAGGGTTACAGGCCAGGGTTACCTGCAGTTAGCCTATTAAATCCACTCCCCAGTTGCCCTCAAGGGAACAATGCAATGGTGCAGCAGCCCAGAGACATGGACCGGTCCTTCCTTTTCATGCCTCTTGTGTAAAAAGCAGGAGCTGGCCCAAAGTGACCACTGCAGGCTGGTGCAAATGAAGTACTCTGTCTAATATACCAGTGTCTGGTTTCCATGTTCAGAAACTTTGCAGGTGTGTTGATGAATTAAAATCTTGGCACAGCACATAACCCTGGTGGCTCTCCAGTAGAGTTAGAAAAGCATTGTGCTGGAGGGATTGGAAACTCATAAAGGCGCCTTTGAAAATGCATGTGTTGCCAGTGCACTGGTTACATCGACTAGCTGCATTTGATCTACTCATAGTGGAACTGCCCTTGCAAAGTAAGATGTCAATCCAATTAAAAAGGAAGTGTCTGGCTGATCCATCTCCTAAACAATTTAGCATGTTTCTTTGAAGCTAAGCAGGCCTCCTGGAGAACAGCCATGTGTCCTTAAATCAGGGTTCATTGGGAGCAGGATTCATCCCACTGATGTTCCAGGCCAGGAAACCAATTGATGAGGCACTTCTGTAACTATCTCCAGGGTAATGGCAATTATTGCTACTTCATCA